CAAATAAACTCATACTGACAAATAAGATCAGGACATAACAAGTTGTTAAAACTCATACTGACAAATAAGATCAGAACATAACAAGTTGTTAAAACTCATACTGACAAATAAACTCATACTGACAAATAAACTCATACTGACAAATAAGATCAGGACATAACAAGTTGTTAAAACTCATACTGACAAATAAGATCAGAACATAACAAGTTGTTAAAACTCATACTGACAAATAAACTCATACTGACAAATAAACTCATACTGACAAATAAACTCATACTGACAAATAAGATCAGAACATAACAAGTTGTTAAAACTCATACTGACATATAAGATCAGGACATAACAAGTTGTTTAAACTCATACTGACAAATAAACTCATACTGACAAATAAGATCAGAACATAACAAGTTGTTAAAACTCATACTGACAAATAAACTCATACTGACAAATAAGATCATACCAAGTTGTTAAAACTCATACTGACAAATAAGATCAGGATATAACAAGTTGTTAAAACTCATACTGACAAATAAGATCAGAACATAACCAGTTGTTAAAACTCATACTGACAAATAAACTCATACTGACATAAACTCATCCTGACAAATAAGATCAGGACATAACAAGTTGTTTAAACTCATACTGACAAATAAAATCATACTGACAAATAAACTCATACTTACAAATAAGATCAGAACATAACCAGTTGTTAAAACTCATACTGACAAATAACCTCATACTGACAAATAAGATCAGAACATAACCAGTTGTTAAAACTCATACTGACAAATAAGATCAGGACATATAACAAGTTGTTAAAACTCATGCTGACAAATAAACTCATACTGACATAAACTCATACTGACAAATAAACTCATACTGACAAATAAACTCATACTGACATAAACTCATACTGACAAATAAGATCAGGACATAACAAGTTGCAAGTATATTCTGGGATAAATTTATATAACATTTAAAAAAATTATTAAAACAAGAGATCCCAGAGGGATCTCGGTGCCCACCATTGTACCATCCTCATTAGTTCTTTGTCAATTCGATCTTTTCTCTTCTTTTCTCTAATCTGTTTGCTAGAGTCATGTTAACAGTAAATGCACCTTGAGGTAACTTTTGATCTAAACTTAATACTGATGTGTATGAAAGCCAACCTTCAAAGTGAGTTTGTCATTTCACATATTTACTAGTACAGTACTAATGTGAAAGAAATATAATCAATCATTGCAATATGAGAAAGATCTGTTTAGTTCTTGCTTTGGTTATTTTGTTTTTATGATCAGTCTCAAAATATAACATGCACAACGAGGGGTCAAGGGGAACCTACATATCAAATTTGAGAAGATCCCTCAAGTTATTCCTGAGAAATAGTACTAACAAACCTTCAATGTCAAAAATCCTAGATGGCTGTTGGTAGGCCATTTTGTTTAACTGATCAGTTTCAAAAGTAAACATGAACAATAAAGGATAGTGGGGAACCTGCATTGTGGCTGGCCAAAAAAAAAAAATGGCTGAGTAAAAAAGTTTACTCAAAACTCGCACCTCAAATCGAAATAATGACAACTGAAAAATGTACTGCCCCCCAGTTAATGTTGAAGGGACTATAATTTCTTTTATTCATTAATCTTTCGACAGTCCCCCAAACTATTTTTGTTGTGACTACCTCACTTTTGACAACTTTTGGTCGCTCGAGCAAGACTTTAACCGCCATTGGTGAGCAGGTGACTGTCCATTTTAGGCACTGCTGCAACAACAAGGGAACAAGGGAAACCTACATAGAAAATTTGAGAAAGATGGCCTCTGGTACTTCCCGAGAAATAGCGATAACAAACTTTCACTATCAAAATCCAAGATGGCTGCCTGTCGGCCATGTTGTTTATCCGATCAGTCTCAAAAGTTGCCCTGCACAGCTAAGGACCAAGGGGAACCTACATATAAAATTTGAGAAAGATCCCTCTGGTACTTCTTGAGAAATAGCGATAACAAACTTTCACTATCAAAATCCAAGATGGCTGCCTGTCGGCCATGTTGTTTATCCGATCAGTCTCAAAACTTGCCCTGCACAGCTAAGGGGAACCTACATATAAAATTTGAGAAAGATCCCTCTGATACTTCCCGAGAAATAGCGATAACATACTTTCACTATCAAAATCCAAGATGGCTGCCTGTCGGCCATGTTGTTTATCCGATCAGTCTCAAAACTTGCCCTGCACAGCTAAGGGGAACCTACATATAAAATTTGAGAAAGATCCCTCTGATACTTCCCGAGAAATAGCGATAACATACTTTCACTATCAAAATCCAAGATGGCTGCCTGTCGGCCATGTTGTTTATCCGATCAGTCTCAAAACTTGCCCTGCACAGCTAAGGGGAACCTACATATAAAATTTGAGAAAGATCCCTCTGATACTTCCCGAGAAATAGCGATAACATACTTTCACTATCAAAATCCAAGATGGCTTCCTGTTGGCCATGTTGTTTATTCGATCAGTCTTAAAAGTTGCCCTGCACAGCTAAGGACCAAGGGGAACCTACATATAGAATATGAGAAAGATCCCTCTGGTACTTCATGAGAAATACTGATAACAAGAATTGTTTAAGGACGGACCACGGACGCAGGGTGATTTGAATAGCCCACCATCAGATGATGGTGGGCTAAAAAAGGGGTCACACATGTACGCACAATATTTTTTCAAAATTTTATTATTCATGTTTTATTCAAATAGTTTGAAATGTTCAAACTGTACATAAGCAGAAAAAAACCCACTTTTGAACATGAAGCTAGCTAACACTAGCTTGCATAGCATGGAACTGGGGTATAATGATATATATTTATGTAAAAATTGAACTGTCAAAAAACTATTATTATCAGAATTTTTATGTTAGAACTAATCACCATAATACATTTATCACTTATGATATAAATCTTTTCACAATTACTGAATTTGAACAAAATAAAATTGTGTTTCTGGTGTCTCAATTTTACTTTTTTAGGCTATATAGAAACAGTGTCTCAATTTTACCTCTTTAGACTATATATAGAAACCTCTTTAGGCTATATATAGAGAAACAGTGTCTCAGTTTTACCTCTTTAGACTATATATAGAAACCTCTTTAGGCTATATATATAGAAACAGTGTCTCAATTTTACCTCTTTAGGCTACATATATACAGAAACAGTGTCTCAATTTTAAAACCACCTTGGTTTTAAGCTTTATTTAGCTGAGAAAAAAAACCCCAAGAGTTCAGAGAAAGTGGAAACACAAGTTTTTTGCCATATATATAGTATTACCCTTGATTAAAGCTACGTACCATAACCAAGAGCTATACTCCATACCACAAGCTTGTACCGTAACCAACAACACTAGCGACTCGCAAACAATTTCACATGAAATTTACATGATGTACACATGACTGACTCACGGAGTAGCATGGTCTGATCAATTTCACTAATGGGCTAATTGACAGTCTGATGGTGAAATGTTTGGAATTAATGCAGTCAGAGTGTAAATGTTTGCGTGTATCAATTCACACTTTGTCATACAAATGGCTAAAATTTCAAGATTGTATTAACACTATAAAGTATATATATAGACAATTCTTGATTAGATTCAATGACTGATGTCATGGCTGACTTCATGGGGACTAACTAGACAAAATTCTTTATCATTTATTGGTTAATTTCTTCGCATAAAAAAATGTCTACCTCTTAAATTTTCCATCGGTGCTAACAATTTGTAAAACTTTATATTAAATTATGATTTCCCCCTTTTAACATTTTTTTCTGTTTTCTACAGTTTTCATATTGCAAACATGGTAAGATATCTTACAGTCAATAAGATTTTGGACTTTCGGCACAAACAGATAGGAAAGTATGAATCCATGTATATATTTGGGTATACATTCATACCTTTTTGTAAAAGCTTTCAATTTCATGGGATGAAGATCCCGATATAAATTATGCAAAATTTCTCTCAAATCACAAAAAGCAGAATTCACCTGAAATATGGACTGGACTGGTCCCTGTTATGATTATAGCCCATCTTCTTAAAATCATTCCAAGTATAATCTTGACAAATAATCTTATTTTTTTCCAGACTTAACCAATTTGATGCTTTTTTTATCAAGTTCTGTTCAGAATATGGAAAAGTAGCTTCCAGATAAAATTAATGTAATTTAGCTCCTAGTGTGAAATTGATCAGGCCCAACAGCTTTACACTACCCAACACTTTCATACAAGATCCTGAACACAATATTGTGTTAATACTTAGGTACACATCTCTTACATACTTTTGAAGGAGAGCGATCAAATAAAGATGTCAAACTTCTCTGAAAATAAATTCAACAATTAACATTTAAAATTACTCCATTTAATTTCCTGTAAAACAAAATCGTTACGATTAATATGTGCAATAGACTTTTTTTGCATACCATTAATTATTTTAGTTTGATGATGTTTTTGAATGCAAAGGCTTAGTGCCATTTCTTTCATAGTAATACCATATCTCTTAAATTACGATTAAGTGGCTAGGGGATCTCAATACTTTAGATTTTTTGAAAATTTTATAACCAGTCTGTATACATATCTCCAATCATATCACAAAACATAAAATATCAAAATCAATTAAATTAACATCTGCATATCTCAATGATTATTAGCTCTAGATCTACTGGGCTTAGCTAGACCAGTTAATGTATAGTGATGTAGGCCCTACTGCCTGGTATGATACCAATATTATTTGGACGTGGTGAATGCTGATTTTAACAAAAATAGGGTTGAAGTATTAGGGGAAAACTATTCATTATAAATCACTGTCAACTGGCGTCACGTTATATGATCACTGATTACAGGAACATCAAGATAATTGGTCCGGACCCGGTACACCGATATTTTCTATTTTCATTGCCTTTTTTTCTGTCAATTATGGAAAGTTAAATTAAATGTAACACTGGTATTTAATTAACAATTTGTATCTAAAACTCACCTTTACTAATGCCTTTCTCTCTGCTTGGTTTTGTCGTCTCCTCGCCTCGTGATGCTCGTTAATTCCTGAACAAGCCATCCTAACAGTAACTCATACAGCTCCAGCGAGCCCTGTCCTGCTACCTGCGACGATTAAGTTACTGAAAGAGAGAAAACAGATCAATTGTAAAGTTTTTCAGGCGGAAACGGATGGTAAGATCAGCAATATCGTGAAAATGATTCAAATAACGAATGTCAAATAAAATTTGTACTAAACATGGTAAAACCGTATGCTGGCTACCGATTAAGCAACAATACAAACCTTCAGTATTGGATGAATTATAAAAAGAAATTATCGATTCACTTCTGAGGCAAACCTTTCGTTGCCTAGCACGCGGAAATGGTTGACCTATGACCTGAAACAAAACTACGTCTTTATTGCCTTCTCAGTTATGAGAGTTCCCCTACAAGGGGAGTGATACAATATATTTGCGGGCGGCAAATTCGAATCATATTTTAGTCTTACAGATTATGTTTATTTTTTAGTAAACATTTTTGTCGTCTCTTCTACTGTAAATGGATTTTATAAAGAATCTCAACCTGTCTTGTCTTGTATAGTATCTTCCTTCTATAGTAGGAGAACCAGTATTCAAAATACTGATAACTTGCGTCTCTGAGTGATGTAATGTGAAATCCTATTTATGGAGACAATCCCGTTTATATAGTAGACTATAAAGAAGACTCATCAAAACATTATAGTAACGTAATTGGTAGTCGGCTCAATACTTTATTGGTACTATGACTAGTATTGTTAGTTTTGATATTAATATAATAAAGGGAACAAAAAACAATAGGGGTGGTCTACTGGTAAAAACCTAAGGATATATAGCTGGTTTGATAGATAACTTAGTGGTGGGAGTTTAACTGTATAACTTTCTTGGGAAAGGAATTAATATAAGCTCCAAGCTTGTTTTCCCATCCCATATTTACAGTTGTATTTGTAATATTGTTGATTATATTGAATAAAATATTGTTTAAACTAACTGTATAGTATATTATGGGTGTATCGATCCAGCAGAGCAAGCTTGAGCCTATGATTGATAGAAGCACACACACACTACTCTGTTGTCGCCACTTCTTCCATAACTACATATTGTCCTGGTACATAAAGCATTGTTAGATTAACAGTACGCTTCTCCTATATTATGGAGCGTAAAACACAGATGGGTGATTCTAAAATTAAACACCATTTAGTATTTTTTAAATGAAAATTACAGTGTAATTTTGCGAATGCTTGTTTTACTTACAAAAAGGAATAAACATATACTTTTCATTTCATTCATTAGCAGTGAGTCAATACATGTAGAAAATGTTAAAAAATGCACCGTTTCCACTACATACACAACCCGACCGTCATTCCCGTAACACTATCAAAACGTTGATTAAAATATTTTTCTACAATAAATTTGATTGTTTTCTTTCACTATCCGATGAATCAAGATACAATCTATAAACTTATATTTTGAAGAAGAAAAAAATGGAGTTCTTGTGTTCTTCATTTGGAAAAAGTATAGGTCCATCGTATTTTTTTCTGGCTATTAAGCTACAAAACCATCGAAATATTATTTTTCTTTAACTTATATATCTCAGGTTGTATTGATCTTGTGACATTTAATTATATATTTCATTATTGTTTTGTTTGTGTATATCTGGAAAAGGACGCTACGGTAATGACATTGATGTTAATTACGAAATGTTACGGAAATTACACAAATATCTTTTTTTTGTATTTTGACAACCCATTCTCCACTTTAAATGCACCAATTTTAATCAAAAGCACTATCTTTTGAAAACAATAAACATGTATATGTCTGTTAAACAATACTAAACGAAACAAACTGTAATAAATTCAACACAATTTTATCAACCAATATTCTTAGTAATATGGTCTTAACAAGTAAAACAGAACTCGTGAATGATCAAGTCAACCAACACAAGTGTAACGTATATTATATATATAGAACTCCAAGATGTTCATGTAACAGTACCTCTGATATTTCTTCATTGCACATATGTAAGATTGGATGGGGTTGACTGTTTCTTTTTCTACTATGGGTCATACTTTCCGGTTTTTTAGGATTGAAATTAACTAACCAAGATTTGGACCATTCAGTAATTTTTAGTAGATCTGACTCCATAATGTTGTTTGTTTCTAAAGGGTTTTCAACTATCATGTACAGAGTAGTATCGTCAGCAAATAATTTGATAAAAGATTTGATATCGTTGACTATGTCATTAATATAGATTAAAAACAACAAAGGTCCAAGTATTGAACCATGTGGAACTCCAGCCTTAACTCCTGCCCAATCAGAGTGAACATTATTGATTATAAGTCTTTGTTTTCTATTCGTTAAGTAGCTTTCGAACCATTTTAACAGCGATCCAGTTATTCCAATTTTTGATAATTTATACAACAGCCCTTCGTGCCAAACCCTATCAAATGCTTTGCTGTTGTCACAAAATACTACTCTTATTTCTTTACCTGAATATAATGCCTTAATAAAATCGTTGGAAATACTTAATAATTGGTTAATAGAGGAATCGCCTGGTGTGAAACCTGATTGATATTTTGTTATTACTTTCAAATCAAGAAGAAAATTGTGAACATGTTTATGAACGCACCTTTCGAACACTTTACCAATTATACTTAAAAGTGAAATTGGTCGATAGTTTTTAACATCATTACGGCTATCTTTTTTATGTATAGGTAAAACATTTGCTTCTTTCCACGATGATTGAAATATTCCTTGTGATAAGGATTTATTAAAAAAATATAGATAATGGCTCAGCAAGCGATGTTGCGGCTTCCTTGAGCACTTTGGGACTAATAAGATCTGGTCCTACAGCTTTACCAGCTTTCAAATTGAGGAAGGCATCCTTAACATCAGTACATGATATATTCATATTACTCAGACAAATACGATTAGGGGATTCTATTAGTGGAGGAAGCATAACCATTGAATCATCCACAACGGATTGACTTGAAAAATATAAGTTTCTCCACATTTACCACTATTGTTTATGAAGAGTTTTACAGTTAACCACCATGACTTGTTGGATTGCCTTAAATCAGATAATATTGATGACAAACTATTAAAATAAGATTCTTTAGATTGTCTAATGGCATTTACACACTTGTTACGGGTTTGTCTGAAAATAGACCAGTCAGATTGGCTATCAGTAAGTTTAGCCTTATTGTGTTTTTTTTACGTTTTGATATTCATTTTCTGATTTTGTTATTCATCCATGGATGATCACGTTTTCTCATAATGACCGTTTTGTTAGGAATAGCCGAAGAAGAAGCGGAATCGATGAAATCAGTTAGACGCTTGCATGCTAGATCGATATTAGCATTATATACTTGAGACCAATCCGACATTTCTAATAGTTCTCTTAGTTATCAAAATTCCCATGCTTATAAAGCCAGATTTTCCTTCGGTACGAGTCGGTTGAATGTTGAGCAATATTAAGAGTTGCATAGATGGGACAATGGTATCTTACTGGTTTGTCAAGGAACGACTCCCCTACATAAGACCGATCTATTATAAAATCGTTATTTACCAATATAACGTCTATTAAGGACATTCAGTAATTAACTGCGTAAGTCTGTAAGTGTACATTATGTTATCAAAATAGTTAAAATCATGACTGCGTTCAGGGATGTGTAGTGTCCCTGCTGCGTTGCAGTAAATTTACGTTAAAATCACCAGTTATTATAACATTTCCAATACTAGAGTTAATCGCCCTACCAATGGATTCCTCAAATTTGGTTCATACAGTTATGTTAGAATTTGGGGGTCTATAGAAAGTACCAAATATAAATGTTTGACCTTTGGATGCTATTTCAACCCATACACATTCGACATCGTCAACTTCAATATCGGACCTTCTTTTGACAAAAATATTGTCTGCTACATAAACAGCAACACCCCCTCCAACGGCGTTATTACGACAGTAACAAAAAGGCCTGTGAAAACCAGAAATATCCAAGGACGAATCAATATCAGAGTCAGAAAGCCAAGTTTCGGTAAATGCTAAAATACTATGCTCATAAAGTTCGGTGTACAGAACATCTAGTTTTAGACGCAAGCTTTGTACTTTCAGGTGGACGAATGAGAAGCAATTAATATTATGTGTAAAAGATACAGGTTCGTCAGAGGAGATTGAAGAGGAGTTTACAGAAGGATGAAAGGGGCCGGGATTAGTTTCTATATCGCCACAGCATACTAATGACAAGACGAGAAACATACAGTATAAATTGAGCGATGATCGCCGTGAAATACGCTTTAAGTAATAAAGATTGATTTCGACATGAAGTTGTGTGTATGTTGCAAGTTTTACATACGCCTAACTGTCGAACAAGGAAAAGGAATATGACAATGGGCAAAAATGCATGATGGTTCCAAAACAGCACAATAAAAAAGAAGACTTTAAAAATATCATTCATTATACTTACAGATCGAGTTTGAACAGAGTGTGCAATGTCATAAAACAGTCCTATTCTTACAGAAAAAATGTTATGACTTATTGGCATTTATATATATTTAGGTAATATCAAATGGGAACATCATCATCACAAGAGTAGGACTAGACTGGCCACCGTCTCTAGAATATTAAATAATTAAGAAAAAACTAACTCTAATAATTTTGATCACTTGGATGTCTGATTCTAAGTTCTAAACTAGGGGGAGATAAGCTAGTAGTAAAATGCAGTCGAGAAATTCTTCATAAAAACTAAGGGGCTGGTGGCCAGTCTAGAGTAGGACCAATGTAAGACCAGCCAATACCTTACTCAGTTTGAGCAATAAAAAATACGAAGTTATTATTACATTCAGGGTTTCCACTGCAGATAATAAGTATTACAATACTGGGAAGGGAGATATAGGGGAAAACATTATAGAACACAAATTTACACTCCATGACAAGAGTTGAGGCGCAGAAGTGCTCCAATATAGTAGATAGTATCACATTCTCGAAGCTGTGTTGAATACATGTAAACACCTCCAGGGGAGATCACCATCCTGTTGGCCTCTGGCTTAAGCTAAGGGGGTGCACAGCCTCCTTTTATACAAAATTGAGTCCCCTTTGCCCAAAGATGCTCTTGAACAAATTTGGTCAAAAAACAGGGAGCTGTTAAGGACAAGTAGCTTTTGAAAGATAAAAGTTGACGAATGATGGATGGAATATAGATGCTTGCGCATCACTGGTCCTGCCGGTTCTTAGGACCTGGTAAGTCAAAAAGGAAAGCTGACACCATATACTTAAATGATACTTTTTATTACATAAATAATTTGTAGAATGCCATTAACATACAATATATATTAATTAACTTAAACATTTTTAAATTCCTTTATGTAGACATTATGTTTTTATTCAGGTAAACTAATTGTAATACATACAGGTAAACTTAATTGTAATACATACTAAGTTGTATATCACTTACAAGTTTAATTGATAATATTATGTATTTTTCTGTAATTTTTTGAATAACTGAAGTTGTGTATATCAAACCAAATAGAATTATGAAAGGCCATAGTAATTAAACAGACATCAAATCATGTTTAATGAGATGAATAAACTGATATTATGACTGGTGACATGAACTGACAATAAATCATGTATAAGGATCCCTATCCCAATGCTGGCAAGACATGATGTTTATTAGCTAACCTGCCCGAAGGGCTTGTAAGCTTATGCCATGGTGCGGCGTCTGTCCGTCCGGCGTCCGTCAACTTTTCCTTTGAACGACTTCTTCTGAAGAATGGACAGGCCTAGAGTCATGATATCTGGGTGAAAGCTTTGTTGGTTAGAGCACAGTTTGAAAACGAAAATGACATTGACCTACATTCAAGGTCACAGGGGTCAAAAGTGTCAACTACTTAAAACGACTTCTTCTGAAGAACTGAAAGGTATAGAATCTTAATATGTGACTGGTAGCTTCGTTTTTAAAAGCACAACAAAGTTTGAGAACGAAAATGACCTTGACCTACTTTCAAGGTCACAGGGGTCAAATGTGTCAAACTTATCAAACAACTTCTTCTGAAGAACTGAAAGGTATAGAATCTAAATATGTGGCTGATAGCTTTGTTGGTAAAATCCCAACAAAATTTGAGAACGAAAATGACCTTGACCCACTTTCAAGGTCACAGGGGTCATATATGTCAAACTTATCAAACAACTTCTTCTGAATAATCAAAATGCATAGAATCATATCATTTGGCTGTTTGCTTCTTGGGATTGAGTCAGACAATGTTTGCAAATGCAAATGACCTCAACCTACTTTCAAGGTCACAGGGGCCAAATATGTCAAACACTTCAAATTACTTCTTCAGAATAATCTTAAGGCATAGAATTATAATATTTGGCTGGTAACTGTCACAGATGGAGCCCGACATAGTTGGCTATTGAAAATTACCTCAACCGTGGTCAAATATAGCAAAAACTGCCAACAGCTTCTCTTGAAGTGGTGAAAGGCATGACATGGAGTGGTGATATTTGACAAGTAGCTTCCTTAGATGGAGCCCAATAAAGTTTGCGAACGAAAATGACCTTTACCTAATTTATCCTATTGCTTTATCTTAATCTAATTTGATATAGAGAATCCTTGGCCAAACATGATTCAATGTTGTAGACACCATGCCCCCATCCCAATGGGGACAGGAGAATGGGACCCAATAAGGTAAGGGTATTACTGAGACACAGAGCCAATATTTGGAAATATTTGTAGTACAGTATAATATTTATTTAATATTTTGCTTCGATTGCTTAAATATCCAGGTTAGTGATACAGGCCCACTGGGCCTCTTGTCTTATATGCCATAACCTCTCATTAACTTTGTTTTTAATATAACTGTGGCACTACTGAGTCAGGTTAAATCTGTTGACTAGGTAGCTCAGCTGGTAAGAGAGAAAGTATAATGATCTGAGGTCAGGGTTCAAGCCTTGGTCTCACCCTTTTATATTTCTAAACTCAGAATACTATTGATGACTTCTTTGTTATATTTATTCCCTTAATGTCCCACTAGGTAAGGTTTTCTTTCAGAAAAGATTTATCAAAGCTATAGTCATGCCAGAAAAAAATATTTCCAATTGATAGATACAGGTTTTGGCAGAGGTTTCAGGATCCTAATGAGTTGATCACACAAACACATTTAGCCATTTAAATGGCAGGAACAAACTAGTTGCAGATATTAAATAATAATTAATAATTGTCTATTTTAAGAGAAACGAAAGAAGACCAACTAATCAAAATATTAAAACCAAGTCTCAACAGGCCACAGTAAAATTTTACGCTAAATTGTCCACCAATCTTGTGTACTTCGTGACGTCACGTTACTATTGTAGTGTGATGACATGTAATTGTGACGTCACGACGTTGTTCTTTTGAATAAACTTCAAGAGCCCTGTGAAGGGTGAAAGCAGCTAGTTTTTTAGTCGGTCGTTAATCTTATTTTTTCTATATTTACTTCCTTCACATGGACATTTAATCCCTTTTTATTATATATATATATATATATATACATTGTATATATACATTAATGTATTACATCACAAATACATATATATATAAATACATTAATGTATTACATCACAAATACATATATATATATATATATATATATATATGGGTCAAAGAAGTAATATAGACGGTAGTATAGTATATCAATTCTATCTTCTTGTAATATGATGTATATGTACATGTAACTGTTCTGTTTCACTGTGTCTTGAAAAAGGAGCGGATCGCTCCGAAAATTTGACAACCTAAACTTGTCCACACTGTTGGAATATCTTCTTTGCCCCATATATATATATATATATATATATACATAAATGTATTACATAATCTTCTTTTCATATACACTGCTCAGCTATACCTGAATTTAATCACATACCTCCTTATAAAGCACTTTTTTCCCCAAATAATATTCAATGTTTATGCTTGATAACAATTTATTTTTCAATCAGTCACCACAATAAATGCTTTAGGTATATAGATGTGCTGTTAGTGCCCGTAGGTATATAAATGTGCTGTTAGTGCCCTTAGGTATATAGATGCTCTGTTAGTGCCCCTGCTTTAGGTATATAGATGTGCTGTTAGTGTCCCTGCTTTAGGGATATAGATGCTCTGTTAGTGCCCGTAGGTTTATAGATGTGCTGTTAGTGCCCGTAGGGATATAGATGCTCTGTTAGTGCCTGTAGGTATATAGATGCTCTGTTAGTTCCCCTGCTTTAGGTATATAGATGCTCTGTTGGGGCCCCTGCTTTAGGTATATAGATGATCTGTTAGTGCCTGTGCTTTAGGTATATAGATGCTCTGTTGGGGCCCCTGCTTTAGGTATATAGATGTGCTGATAGTGCCCGTAGGTATATAGATGTTCTGTTAGTGCCCGTAGGTATATAGATGTGCTGTTAGTGCCCGTAGGTATATAGATGTGCTGTTAGTGTCCCTGCTTTAGGTATATAGATGCTCTGTTAGTGCCTGTGCTTTAGGTATATAGATGCTCTGTTAGTGCCCCTGCTTTCGGTATATAGATGTGCTGTTAGTGCCCGTAGGGATATAGATGCTCTGTTAGTGCCCGTAGGTATATAGAAGTGCTGTTAGTGCCCGTAGGTATATAGATGTGCTGTTAGTGCGCGTAGGTATATAGATGTGCTGTTAGTGTCCCTGCTTTAGGGATATAGATGCTCTGTTAGTGCCTGTGCTTTAGGAATATAGATGCTCTGTTAGTGCCTGTGCTTTAGGAATATAGATGCTCTGTTAGTGCCTGTGCTTTAGGAATATAGATGCTCTGTTAGTGCCCCTGCTTTAGGTATATAGATGTGCTGTTAGTGCCCGTAGGTATATAGATGTGCTGTTGCCCGTAGGTATATAGATGCTCTGTTAGTGCCCGTGCTTTAGGTATATAGATGCTCTGTTAGTGCCTGTGCTTTAGGTATATAGATGTGCTGTTAGTGCCCGTAGGTATATTGATGTGCTGTTGCCCGTAGGTATATAGATGCTCTGTTAGTGACTGTGCTTAAGGTATATAGATGCTCTGTTAGTGCCCGTGCGTTAGGTATATAGATGCTCTGTTAGTGCCCGTGTTTTAGGTATATAGATGCTCTGTTAGTGCCAGTAGGTATATAGATGTGCTGTTAGTGCCTGTGCTTTAGGTATATAGATGCTCTGTTAGTGACTGTGCTTAAGGTATATAGATGCTCTGTTAGTGCCCGTGCTTTAGGTATATAGATGCTCTGTTAGTGCCCGTAGGTATATAGATGCTCTGTTAGTGCCTGTGCTTCTCTGTTAGTGCCTGTGCTTTAAGTATATAGATGCTCTGTTAGTGCCTGTGCTTTAAGTATATAGATGCTCTGTTAGTGCCTGTGCTTTAGGGATATAGAGTATATAGATGCTCTGTTAGTGCCCGTAGGTATATAGATGCGCTGTTAGTGCCCGTAGGTATATAGACGCTCTGTTAGGGCCTGTGCTTTAGGAATATAGATGCTCTGTTAGTGTCCCTGCTTTAGGTATATAGATGCTCTGTTAGTACCTGTGCTTTAGGGATATAGATGCTCTGTTAGTGCCCGTGCTTTAGGAATAGAGATGCTCTGTTAGTGCCCCTGCTTTAGGTATATCGATGCTCTGTTAGTGCCCGTAGGTATATAGATGTGCTGTTAGTGCCGGTGCTTTAGGTATATAGATGCTCTGTTAGTGACTGTGCTTAAGGTATATAGATGCTCTGTTAGTGCCCGTGCGTTAGGTATATAGATGCTCTGTTAGTGCCCGTAGGTATATAGATGTGCTGTTGCCCGTAGGTATATAGATGCTCTGTTAGTGCCTGTGCTTTAGGGATATAGAGTATATAGATGCTCTGTTAGTGCCCGTAGGTATATAGATGTGCTGTAAGTGCCTGTGCTTTAGGTATATAGATGCTCTGTAAGTGCCCGTGCTTTAGGTATATAGATGCTCTGTTAGTGTCCCTGCTTTATGTATATAGATGCTCTGTTAGTACCTGTGCTTTAGGGATATAGATGCTCTGTTAGTGCCCGTGCTTTAGGAATAGAGATGCTCTGTTAGTGCCCCTGCTTTAGGTATATCGATGCTCTGTTAGTGCCCGTAGGTATATAGATGTGCTGTTGCCCGTAGGTATATAGATGCTCTGTTAGTGCCCCTGCTTTAGGTATATAGATGTGCTGTTAGTGCCCGTAGGTATATAGATGTGCTGTTAGTGTCCCTGCTTTAGGTATATAGATGCTCTGTTAGTGCCTGTGCTTCTCTGTTAGTGCCTGTGCTTTAAGTATATAGATGCTCTGTTAGTGCCTGTGCTTTAAGTATATAGATGCTCTGTTAGTGCCTGTGCTTTAGGTATATAGATGCCCTGTTAGTACCCGTGCTTTAGGTATATAGGCTCTGTTAGTGCCCGTGCTTTAGGTATATAGATGCTCTGTTAGTGCCTGTGCTTCTCTGTTAGTGCCTGTGCTTTAAGTATATAGATGCTCTGTTAGTGTCCCTGCTTTATGTATATAGATGCTCTGTTAGTACCTGTGCTTTAGGGATATAGATGCTCTGTTAGTGCCCGTGCTTTAGGAATAGAGATGCTCTGTTAGTGCCCCTGCTTTAGGTATATCGATGCTCTGTTAGTGCCCGTAGGTATATAGATGTGCTGTTGCCCGTAGGTATATAGATGCTCTGTTAGTGCCTGTGCTTTAGGTATATAGATGCTCTGTTAGTGTCCCTGCTTTAGGTATATAGATGCTCTGTTAGTACCTGTGCTTTAGGTATATAGATGCTCTGTTAGTGCCCGTGCTTTAGGTATATAGATGCTCTGTTAGTGCCCGTAGGTATATAGATGTGCTGTTAGTGCTCGGAGGTATATAGATTCTCTGTTAGTGCCCGTAGGTATATAGATGTGCTGTAAGTGCCTGTGCTTTAGGGATATAGATGCTCTGTTAGTGCCCGTAGGTATATAGATGCGCTGTTAGTGCCCGTAGGTATATAGATGCTCTGTTAGTGCCCGTGCTTTAGGTATATCGATGTGCTGTCAGTGCCCAAGCTTTAGGTATATAGATGCTCTGTTAGTGCCCGTAGGTATATAGATGTGCTGTTAGTGCCCGTAGGGATATAGATGCTCTGTTAGTACCTGTGCTTTAGGTATATAGATGCTCTGTTAGTGCCCGTGCTTTAGCTATATAGATGCTCTGTAAGTGCCCGTGCTTTAGGTATATAGATGCTCTGTTAGTGCCCGTAGGTATATAGATGCTCTGTTAGTGCCTGTGCTTTAGGTATATAGATGCCCTGTTAGTACCCGTGCTTTAGGTATATAGATGCTCTGTAAGTGCCTGTGCTTTAGGTATATAGATGCTCTGTTAGTGCCCGTAGGTATATAGATGTGCTGTAAGTGCCTGTGCTTTAGGTATATAGATGCTGTGTTAGTGCCCGTGCTTTAGGTATATAGATGCTCTGTAAGTGCCTGTGCTTTAGGTATACAGATGCTCTGTTAGTGCCTGTGCTTTAGGTATATAGATGCCCTGTTTGTGCCCGTGCTTTAGGTATATAGATGCTCTGTTAGTGCC